TTCCATGGTCACATAAACAACAAAAGATATCAGTCACGCAAGTGAAAATAAAATGCACAGCATTTAGTCTGCCATATCTAGTGAAAACATTCTTAAAAACACATACACACACACATACATACATATATATATATATATATATATATATATATATATATATATATATAATACACACACACATTGATTTGATTGCATTTCAGCACTAAAAAACACTGTTGGTTTTGCTAAGGGTCTCAAGCTGTGCTCTTTCAGGGGGGAACGGTGCAATGAATTGGAGTGAGACCCTGGGCTTGTGTCAAGTCAATGAGACTGAACACATTAAAACTGATGAGAGTGTACTTAGACAGGTTAGGGCTCACCAAGCGTTTGCTGCCTGGATGCACTAAATCAATCAATACATCTGCACGAATCTACAAAAACAAATTTGACTGGAAGTCATCTTTTTGTGCTCAGAATACAGTCAGATTTATATTGAACGATGACAAAATATATATAATTCAATATTATTGGCTTGTTTAGTACATTATGATTGAGCTGTTACATTTGAAATGCCTTTGAATAGATTGTTTACTGAACAAAAACATATGCTAGGACACATTTAAATTTAGTTTCACTTGACATTTTAATTTGCTCTGAGATTAAGAAGTTTTCCTGATGCTTTCTCTTAAAGGACAAGTTCGGTATTTTACACTTAAAGCCCTGTTTTAAGATCGTTTCTGATGAAATAGAACGGTTAAGATTGAAATTTGGACACATGGTTTTTGTCCAACTCCATTGACTTGGACAAAAACTACGATAAAACCTGTTGGAAAGCATCTTTAGCAGCGATTTTTATTTTTGTGTGAGCATATCAGTGAACACCCCAGACCACTCGGTGAGTTTCACGTCTTTGTAAACTAAAGTTGAATGCGTTTTATGAAGGATTGTTCCAGTGCACCTATGCGACCATTGTGGAGGTGGGGGGGTGCTACCACAGAAACCGAAAATTCTCGGGCCAGCAGCATGTGTCCAAATTTCGATTTTAACCGTTCTATTTCATCAGAAACGATCTTAAAACAGGGCTTTAAGTGTAAAATACCGAACTTGTCCTTTAAGAGAAAGCATCAGGAAAACTTCTTAATCTCAGAGCAAATTAAAATGTCAAGTGAAACTAAATTTAAATGTGTCCTAGCATATGTTTTTGTTCAGTAAACAATCTATTCAAAGGCATTTCAAATGTAACAGCTCAATCATAATGTACTAAACAAGCCAATCTTAACCGTTCTATTTCATCAGAAACGATCTTTAAGTGTAAAATACCGAACTTGCCCTTTAAACATCAGCATTAAACCGGAGTGAAAGCTGTCATTAAACCATTTAAATACCCCCTTCCCACCTCAACTAACCAACTATAAAAGTTAAACTGTGTGCGTGTCTATAGGGGGATATAAGAATTCTTTCCTAATTAATTCCTCTGCCCCATGTAACCCTCAGACTATTCGTAATCCAGAAGGGAACATCTTTATTGATCTTGGGAACGCTTGAGTAGACTCCCAATGCTTATCTCAGCATAAAAAGCATCTCTTGTGACGAGCCACGATTTAATTAGATGACAATCACTGTTAACAATGCACTGCCTACATCACAAAATTTGCACATTGTCGCTGGCAGTGATAAATTTCAGCTGCTCGGACAGGGACAATTCACATCCTGGAATTAACTCTTTCCATATGAGCAGGAATTTCAAAGGAGCACTGCAGATATTGTTAACTAGGGAAAAACACACACACACACAATCTATGTTCCATACACAATCTGTCAAAGCTGAAGCTGCAATTAAGTTTACCCAGCTGTAGATAACAGACTAAACTCTCCATACTTTATTAATGCAAGCTGCAAATGATGGTGAACAGTGATATTTGTCTGTTATATCACAAAAAGTACAAAAGGGGCAATTTATTTCTATTGCTTGCAATTTGATCGCTCATCCACAAGATGGCAGTGTGTGTGATTTTCTGCAACATGAAAATATCTGTAAAAATCTACTTTTCAAAAACCATAACAAAGATGACAATTCATTCATATATCAATGGCATAATTATATACAATATTAAAATATTTTTTATGTTCAGATATGTAAAAATTGTATTTCATTATTATTCTTGCTCTGACTCTCTTATAATCTCCTTTCTTTTCCTGTTATGATCTTTATGTTCTTGAGAAAGTATTTTTTTACGAAAAAAGGGGATATTTTAAGCTATGTTTATGTATGATCCAATCTTTTTAAATACATTTTTTTAAATAAATTGTTGAGAATAATAATTTAAATATTTAATGCATCCTGATGCATTAAGGACTGCAATTTTTCAACACTGTTTTAAATGATATCACTGTTTAGTACCGTGAAACTAAAATAGATCATACAGTCAAACACAGAGAAAATCTGTCAAATACAGGGATACCTACTAAAAATAATAATTCAGCAAATTAAGAATAGCTACATGATATAACATCCAAAAATGATGTGCATGATGATGGCCACCTCAGCTGTCATAAACGTCTCCCAACACTTCATATTTTTAAACTCATTAAAATGTGTGCACACAATCTTTCATCCATAGTTACGGGACATTTTGGCAAAAGCTTTTCATGGCCAAGTGACTCATATTCTGACCACACATTACAAATTCTCAGCCCCAACTAAACACGCCACAGTCAAAAAAGAAAAAAGAAGGAAAATTGTCGAGCCACGGTACAGTATTTTTTGGAAAGCAGGGCATAGGTGAAGGCCATGGGCTAATGGCAATGAGGGATTTGTCAGTCATCCTAACATTTAATAATCCCTGGCTCTCCATTTTCTGCTGTTTGTTTATATTAACCTCTGGTTGAACCCACTTTAGAGGCAGCCTCTGTGCCAGAAAGTTCACTGAACATTCAGCATGGAAGCGGAGAACATGTCATCTCGAATCTATTAGCCCACAGGGGAGATTGCAGCAGTCCACGCACCACACACACACACACACACAACTCGCATACACTCTAGGTAAGCTGCAAAACCTCACATTTCTGTACTGATGGCGCCTGTAACTGAGATTATTGCATTCTATGACCTGATTCTGACCTCTCTTTTTCGCTCATGCTGAATAATCATATCAAACAATGCAGTACATCTAACCGTTACTGCTTTCTACCACATTCAGTACAGTTCTCTTGTGCCATCATGAATGGCTTTAACAGCCTTGCTTTTATTGCATTTGCGGTCTAAATTAGAGTGATCTCAAACGGCTTTAGGTAAGCAACATCTTTCGAGTTGCACCTGGAAAGATACACTTGAAACTGGAAAAAATTCCTCAGGATTACTTTTATTATATGGAGTTGTATTACTAAAATAGTACGTGGTATGTAATCATAAACACTGGTAATCAACTGAGAGAACATATGGCTCTATGTATTACCGGTAATATTGTACTGAGAACATAATGCAGTAGACATAGTGTTGTGTAGGTTTATATACTGACCTGGGTGGTGATAAAGAGAAGACACTTCTGGAGAGGAGATATCTTCAACATGTCCTCAAGGTTGGATGTTTGCTGATCCAAGATAAGTATGAGAATTGAGGTGGTCTTAACAGATTAAAAAAACAAACACCTTGTCCTGTCAATAGAAAAATTCGAGTTATTTGCTACTTGCATCTCAATTGGAAAGTCTTGTAAACCATTTAAACCTAACAAATTAGCCCGTGTTCCCTTAAACACTTTAATATGACTGTACACTTGTCTGGATGGACGTTTATCAGTGACATAATTGCATATCAAAATCATACTACGTCCACGTTTAAATGTCAAATAAAACATGGTAGTAGTCCCGTGGTACTTTTTAAGGTGAAGCCAGTGCCCAAAAGTGCAAACATCAGAGATTTCAGTTCATTTGTGATGAATATCTTTCCAGAAAGTGGTGAACATGAGTAGGCTACAATTATAAACAGCAATGCAGCAAAATGAATATACTTTGTGTTGTGAACAAGCGGGAAGATAATAACAAACCTTTCATTAGCTCTGTGGATAGTTGTTTGGAAGTTTCTAGTCGTCAGAAAGAAAGGCCTCAAAACCACAACAGTTTTTCTTTCTTTTTTTTTTCTTTTTTTTTTCAGATTCATCAACATTGCGCACGGTTTGGCTGCATGAACGCCAAAGCAAGCAAGCTGATTGGCTGTGAGTCAGCAACTGACCAATCAAAAAATGTATAAATGATGTCGCTGGCCTTATGTCAGCTAATATGCGTGAGCTCGACTTATAAATGTGGGTGGGTCCTTAGAAATATTCAATATTTTGTATCTAAATGCAAATGTAAAATATAAATAAATGTAATATTTGTATAACTAATCAAATATTTCATTTTGGGGATAGGGGTACTTTCATTTAACTCTCCCTTTTATTTGTTTTTTATTGACCCTCTTTATATATAAAGTTTTGGTTTCTGCTGCTGCAGTATTGTTGTAAATGTCTGTCGAATCGAATGACAGAAACATCCAGATGGGACGGGAGGTGATAGTAGCCTCGTGAGACCATCCTGATCTCGCGAGCTTTCAAGGTTTCGCGGAGCAAATCCATCTGGCGGAGTCAGGTTAAGGTGATAGTGCTTAAAGACATGCAAATCGCCCCATATAAATAAACACTGGGCGTGGCTTGCAGACAACCTGAGTCGACTAGGGCGTGTGTTGCTGCAGCATGAGCATAGTGAAGTAATTCGAAAGAATACACAATGATTGTTTATTTATGTAGTGCCTTTTAAACATTGCCTGGAAGTGTTTAAAAGGCACTTTATGCGTCTTTATAAAGTTATGTTGATATTGGCAAACATAGTAGCTTAATGTCATGTTGGACACGCGATTATAAAGTGTGTGTGTGTCTGTGTTAGTAACGTTAGTAGTGGTAGTGTTTTCAAAATCTCGATGCTTATACAATAATGAGATAAACAATATGTGTGTTTTTCCTATTGAAATGTACTCCCCAGAAAGCAAGATGATGACACATACTGAAGGGAAATCACTGGATTTAATTATTGACAACAATCACCAGAGCGATGGTTACTGCTCTGGTGAAGTAGTGTCTGGTCATATTTCGCTCAAAATTTCTGAAGCCACCACAGTCAAAGCCATAAAAGTATTACTGAAGGGATATGCTCAGGTGAGTTGGATGCACAAACGGTGTTCCGAAGAGAGGAAACATCTCTCCTTATCCAAGACACTTTTAGCATCAACAGGTAGGCCTGCAATTACTCATCATTTTTTGTGGTGATTGAAGTGTGATCTGTTGCATTGCCTTTGAACATGAATGTAGTACAGTTTGAATTATTAATATTTGATTAGGTCAAGACCTCATCCTTCATAGTGGCATGTATGTGATCCCTTTTGAACTACAACTACCTCAGAGGTAAGTTAAAATGTTTGGCAGGGCTATTCCAAACATGGGTCGGGGCCCAGTGCAAGTTTTTTGGGCACCGTTTGATCAAATCACTTTCTAAAGTGTGAGACCCGGTGCACACACCAGTTTCAGTTGTTTAGGCCTAACATAAAGGCTGCAAAGATTATAAGATAATTGCAAACAACAAATATACATTGTGTGTATATATTGTTGTATTAATTGCAGTTCAAAATTAACTCTTGTTACACTATTCAGAGCACTGACACTGCAAATTTTTAATTGTCTCCTAGTCCCTTGGTTTCCTCGTTCTCTGGAAAACATGGCCACGTTTACTACATGGTGCAGGTAGTTTTAAAAACACCATTTCATGAGAATCAACGTGTTTGCAGAGAACTTTGCATCATCAATCCTATTGATGTCAATATGCCAATGTTAATGGTGAGTATGTCAAAAATGCGTTCTGTTTTCCTACGCATACCCATTTTGAGGTGTGCATCCAATGGACAATGTACTATCCCAGAGATACTATATGTACTATACTAGAGAATGTACTATACTAGAGAAGTTGTGACTAGCAGCCAATGCTGTAGGTCACATGATGCCAGATGTAGTACATTCTGACTTCATTCATACCATATAGAAGAGAATTTTTTTGAATGGCTGCAAAGTTAGTTCCTCTTCTAATGTAGTACATTACTCAGAAGGTATGAGATTTTAATGCACCTGAAGAGTTTAGTATCAAACCTGATTAAACACACCTGCTAATCAAGGTATCGGAATCTCAGGAAGACACATTAGCATCAGTTCAAAATTAAATGTAAAATTGATGTAAAATCTGAAGCAAAGTCGTACTGCATTAGAGAACATCCTCCTGACCTCTGACTCAGAGTTGTCATTACAGTCTCCAGTGTCACAAACCTGTAAGAAGATGATCGGTTGCTGGATCTTTACGTCAGGTCCCATCTCACTGTCTGTCAGCATAGACCGACAGGGCTATTGCAATGGTAAGATAAAATAAGTATATTTTTATGAGCTTTGAAGCTTTCTGGGTGTGATAGGATGACAGTATTTGAGTATTGTAGGTTTTTGCTCAACTAAAGTTTGCCTAAGGAAACATAAAGTTACCAAACGTAACCAATCATTTGGTAGGAAAGAAAATGCTATTCTTTTGAACTTTCTATTAATCAAAGAATCCTGAAAATGTATTATGGTTTCCATGTTTCTTGAGCACCAAATCCGCATATTAGAATTATTTCTGAAAGATCATGTGACACTGAAAGCTGGAGTAATGGCTGCTAAATAATCAGCTTTGTCATTACAAGAATAAAATGTATACACTTAAAATTAATAAAAATGGGCCATGCCCAATATGGCTAAACACTTAAGCTTAGGTCTTGACCACAAATTATTGGTCAGAAAATGTGCAAAATTTAAGCAAATGCACTACTTAAAAAGCCATTGCTGTCTCAGAAAAACATCAAAGACTGAATTAAGTTTTTGGTAGAATATGGGATGCTGTAGTGTAGGTCACATGATGCCAGATGTAGTACATTCTGACTTCATTCATACCATATAGAATACTTTTTTTGAATGGCCCTGACTCTTCTAGTATAGAGCTGTTTGCAAGTTCGGGAAGTCTATTCTGTGCTAAGTTACTTTATCTAGGCTGCAGTATTTGTTGTAATTCTAGCTAATTCCCTGACAAGAGATTTGTAATTTAAAATTGTTAAGATCATTAAAAGACCACTAAATATTTTTGGGTGGATCATCATCAGATCAAAGGTAAACTTATGATTCCACAGAGTTTATTTCAAGGGATATATGACTGCTTCGCAATTTTCTTCCATGCTGCTGCAATAGCAATGTTATTTTAAATAATTGTCTTTTCATCTTGTGACACTTTTTTTTTTTGTCTTCTCTAGGAGAATCAATCCCAATCTCTGCTCTGATTGAAAACCTCTCCTCTCGTCTAGTTGTGCCAAAAGCAGTGATATACCAGATACAGACCTATATGGCAAAGGGTAAAAAAAAGATCATCAAACAGGTGGTTGCCAGTGCTAGTGGAAATGTAGTGCCGTCTGACTGTTCCAGCAGGTGGAATGGAAACACATTGAAGATTCCTCCAGTTTCTCCATCCATTCTGAATTCAGACATCCTGAAAGTGGAATACTTGCTTGCAGTAAGTAATAATTTTATGATGATTATGAAGGATTTCTTTTTTTTTTCTTATTCAATGTTACCAGTCGTTTTAAGAATATTCTGATAAGCATAGTATACATGTAAAAAAATGTTGATTTACTAATACTTCTATAACCTCTACTAGCTAATATAGATGTATTTATAAACACCATTTATATGAATCTTTGTTCTATATGTTTGTTTCTCTTCTATAAGGTTATTGTTCAGATACCAGGTGCCAAAAATCTAGAAGTACTGCTTCCACTGGTGATCAGTACCGATGGTCATTGCAGTCAGAGTTTTAACACGAGCAGGGACTCCATTATGGACATGAGCTTGCTGTACCCCAGGTTTACCCTACCAGATGTAGCTGAAGGTAGGGTGTGAATTTATTGATGCGGTGAATGCAGCTTATAAACTGCCAAAAAAGAAACGTCCTCTCACTTTCAACTGCTTTTATTTCCAGAAAATGACTTAACATATATGCATAAATTGTTCATATTAGTTCAAATATGTACATATATCTTGTTTTTATTTTAATGATTATTTGTCTGACAGCCCCACCCAGCTATGCAGAGGTTGTGTCAGAGGAACAGTTTGAAGAGCACAGAACTCCAACCTACCAGCCACAACCGGACTGGCTGTTGGATGGCCCAGCAATCGCTAACATTCAGCAGTCCCGCCTCCAGCCTCCTCCCTCTTATTCAGAGGTCAGTCATTTCTTTATCGTTCCATTCTTTCTGTTACAACTTTGATAGTGTCTATGTCAGGGCTGTCCAAATTCGGTCCTAGAGGGCCACTGTCCTGCAGAGTTTAGCTCCACCTAGCCTCAACACACCTGCCTGGAAGTTTCTAGTAGACTTGTAGTCAAGACCGCCTAAACCGAGACCAAGACAAGACCAAGATCAAGACAGACCAAGTCGAGACAAGACCGAGACCGGAGGGGAAAAAACAGACTAGTGTTGTTGAAGCTAAGCAATAACTTGTAAGATTTTGTTTTGCATTGCCTGCCTATCTCTGCCGATTTCGAAGTCTCCAAATGAATCCATTCTGCAACTTTTAAATACATAATTATATTTTTAAAAACGAAATTATAAGCTTAAGTGCAGGATCCAAAAGTTGGTTGTTTTTGTCGCTATGGTTGGCGGTGCGCTCAAAGTCATCTGTCAGTTGTGCAGTTACCCAAAATCTCCTGAATGAAGTTAAAACCCATCATGTCACTGATATGTGTTTTACTAAATATTAATACATCAAAAACTGTACATGATATGTGTGTTTTTTTTATCAAGTGATCAAAGTGCTCGTTGCATTGGCGCGGATACGGTGTTTTCTCGTGTGGCTCGCGCACACCGCACTGTCTTCACTCGGACACTTCTTCAATCCGTTGCGGATATCGTCGTGGATATTAGTATTGTATTGCTAAATCCCCCAACCACTATGTCGGTCTGAGACAGCGAGACCTAGACAAGACCGAGAGGTCCGAGACCAAGACAAGAACAAGACCAAAGACCGTCAAGGCCGTGACAAGACCGAGACCACAAAAAGTTGTCTCGAGACCAAGACCGGTCTTGAGACATACATCACTAGTTTCTAGTATGCCTAGTAAGACCTTGATTAGCTGCTTCGGGTGTGTTTAATTGGGGTTGGAGCTAAACTTTGCAGGACAGTGGCCTTCTAGCAGCAGGATTGGACACCCCTGGTCTATTTCATATTATCAAGCCTTTGTCCCATTGCAGATTTACCCAACTGAACACTGAGCTTTTTGTCAAGTTTCTTTTGTAGAGAAGACCAAAGAACGACCTTGTCCCTACACACAGCATTTTCCCATTTTCTTTGGATTATGGATTGATTATTGCTGCTCTTATTGGTGAAATGCTTGTTCTGATGAGCGCATCATGATCAAGGCTCGTCCACTTTGCAGCTTATTCTGACTTTCTGAAGGGTTTTTTTCTAGACTCTTCTGTTTCTTGTTGTGACATTTACAATTTCAGATAAACTGCAAATAAAATGCATAAAAACTAAATGTTCACTTTATAAATCAATCAGACGGACTCTTCCCGTCCTATTGGCCAGAATTAACCTGAAGTGCCATCAGTCTAAAATCTGGCTATGTGAAATATCGTTATTTGGTTTAAGAAAATGTTAATTAGAATTTGTATTATGTCGCAATATTGTGATGTGTAAATAGTTGAATCTGATTATGATGTGCTGCTTTAGGTCCAGGTTATCACAAGCATAGTTGCACTTGTAATATATATCACGTTTAGCTAAATTATCACAAAAATGGATAATTAATTGGAAAACAACCAGCTGAATGGGGTTATCTGGATTTGTAATGTTTTTCACAGCATTATAACTTAATAAAATTATCCATTTTTGTACGACTGAATATCTTTTGGCTTTTCTGAAAACGTCTTACTACTTTTTGTATGAGTATAATGTATGCAATAAACTGAAATGCCCAGCTGTGGTAATCAAAATCCGGGGCAGAACAACTGCATTAGCACAAATGTTCATCAATAACTCCTCACAGTCTCGCCTGTCACCTCATTTGTCACAGAGGCATTTCCTTTGAATGGGAAAGATTAGAATTGCATGAATAGGTGTTCATTCTTCATTCATTGTCAGATGTACATGTACTGTATATGATAATGATGTTAATATTAACATCTGAAAAAATACCCAAGTTTCAGAAAAAGTGCACAAGTGTAAAGAAATATTCACAGCATCACTTTTCACAGTTACATAACTATAGCTTTATTGAATGTTGTTATATAATTACTGTACGCAAAGTTATAATAGTTACACTGAGTTTGCACTTACTGAATTTCACAATTATATTTGGATGGATACAATTACACATTTCTATCAACAAATAATGCAGTTTTCTGGCACATTTAGTGCCCATTTTTGACATTCAAAGACAAAATTTCAATGTTATTGTACTGCATATCAAACAGTTTAACCAACAAAAAGTTAAAGTTTACTAAAGAAATGTTGCAAAACTAAGTCTTAGCAAAGCTAACCATTTTTTCTCACAATCTGTGCTTTACATCAGTTTACAAAATGCAACTGTCCCCTCAGAAGCAAAAGAAAACCTCAACAAATCTGATAAAATGTACCTATAACTGAAAAAAAAACATTTTCCGTAACCATTAAACACTTACTTTTCCCCCATATACTGCAACCAAATGAGCATAAATATGAAGACCTACCTCACAATGTGTTTATTTATCTTGTGTCTCAGTAGTCCCATAAAGTGGATTATTGGACCGGCGGATCCACCTGAACTCTGAGTGCCCTGAACCCTAAGAGATATCTCGGTTGAGATTTTATCCAAGTGTGAATGTGCAATATTTATAAGAAGTGTGAATTATTTAGCATGTGGCCGTCACACAGCCAGTTTTTACCCTCTGAAATGCATCATTGATTTAAAAAAAAAAAAAGAAAATGAAGAGGAGGCTGAAATGAAAGATGTTAACCTCTATGTTAATATAATGTAAACTGTGTTACAGCAACATTCAGACCTTCCTCACCCTAAATTAACAATGTTCTACATTGAAACCATGTCTGCAAATCATTATTATGATTTTAGAAGATTGTGAGAATATGAACTCTGCCTTTTTGGTTGGTTGAATGGGGATTCATTCCCATGTTAAAATTAACATCTGAAAAATACCCAAGTTTCAGAAAAAGTGCACAAGTGTAAAGAAATATTCACAGCATCACTTTTCACAGTTACATAACTATAGCTTTATTGAATATTATTATATAATCACTGTACACTAAGTTATAATAGTTACACTGAGTTTGCACTTTACTGAATTTCACAATTATATTTGGATGGAGACAAATACACATTTCTATCAACAAACAATGCAGTTTTCTGGCACATTTAGTGCCCATTTTTGACATTCAAAAATGGATTTTACAGTTTAAAAATGGATTTTACAGTTTAATATTCGTTCACCTCATATATTAAGACAGGACACATGGTTATGAGATGAGTCACACCAGGTTCCAACAATCTTTGTTCAAGACGTAACGTAAATGTATCATCCATGTGCTGCTCATTATTTGGTCATTGCTCCATGTCCTCCTCCGTCAGTATCATGCAGTCAACAAAAGTCACTTTTCATTCAGTTCATTGATGTTTTGACACTTTTGTTATTCAAGCAAACACAAATGAGTTCTTCACTGAAAATATAAGATACCACATTTCTACATCTAGCAGCTAAAACCAGAAGTAGTTTCAATATTAAGTCACAAAGCCTTTATCAAAGTTTTTAACTTTTTGATTTTAACTTTAATCAAACACTGCCCTATGAATTTGCATCACGTGAAGACGTGTGACAAACGTTAAAGGGATAGTTCACCCAAAAATGAAAATTCTGTCAGTAATTACAAAGCGACTGTTGTTGACATTTGTCCTTTGTGTCAGAAGTTGCGGGAGGGCTTCAAGTACCCCCAGTTTATGGGGAATTTGTTGTGTCGTATGACTGTTTCGCTCCACGCCGCGCCACATCCAGTGTAGACAGCATTACTAGTTATAATGGGTTCTATTTGCTTTTGTCGCGTCACTCAGCTCGCATCTGGTGTAGACAGTATGTTAGTGCTCGTACAACCAAGAAAAAACATTTTTAAAACTTGTTTTAAACGTTGAATTTTTTAACGCAGCAGAGAGCGATCTCATATTACAACTATTATAGTGTGTACAAATTTAACATGCTCAAAGTCTAGTGTGACCGTGGCTTAAGATGCTCATCAAGCATATGTTTACATAGAAAAACAATTAAAAAGTCTGTCCATCTCACATACTGAACAGCACACTGCCAACCGTTTTTAAAGATACACTCCACATGCAAATGAAAGGCTGCAGTGCAGAGGGTGCGGTTGAAGTGGTTCATTACACTCTGGCATTTATCTCCTTTTATTTACATTTGTGTAATTTGTTTTGTCCACTCTCAAGTGTGATATGAAAAGCCTGTTGGCGCTATTTACTGGCTTAGCAAAAAGCAACCCAGCTGAGCGGACTAAAAACAGAGTAAACATTATGTTTCAGCATTACATTGCCGATAACTGCTGGAAGCCCCGAGTCTGTGGCAGATAAGAAAATGAGCTGACTGTCAACCGTCAAACACGAGGTCTCAAAAACGCCTCCACCTTTGTTTTGTTTGTTCCACCACTTCCACCAAAAGCTTTGTTTGTTTTCATGGGCTTAGCAGAAGCAAGTGGGGTTCTCGAATCAAGGACACAGGGTCAAAGAGTTGTGCAGTGGGAAAGCGAGTGACACCACATGCTGTGATGCTTGAATTTACTTTGTTCTTATGTACAGGGTTAAGTGAAGTCACTGAAGGTTTATCTGCCTTCGTATTGCTCCCTGCCACCATCAATAAAACGCAACAATGTGTCTTGAAAAGTCAGCTTATAAAAGTTTCAGGAAACTCTGAGAGCTTAAGTGATCTTCCTCCGGCATCGCGGCAGCCCTGCAGCAGCCAGGATGTCTGCTTATATTAATTTCACAGAGTTTAAGAGGTCAGCAAACTCATTTGGAGATTCTTATTCATTTATGAACCCAGCAACCCCCTGTTCTGCACCGCTCTAAGCTACAGGGCCTCAGATGCTTAAATTTACATGGAATATTATATAGTTAGGTGTGTGAAAAAGTATAGTGCTCTTGCTCAAGCAGGGAGATTAAGACTAAGCAATGCACTCGGAGATGACAGTCACCCAGATTTTAATGAAAAGGCAGGTGGATGAACCTGTGTTTCATATGCTATGTTTTCCAAAGCTTTTGGATCATTGCTTCATCTAAAATTCAGAAGATTTCTAATGAGACAATGAGACTGAGAGAAAGCAGCTTAACAAGAGACCCGAGGAGAGCAGTCAGTGAAACTCAGTAAATGAGCTCCAAAGCTGCTCATGAGAGTGCGGATGAATTAATATTCTAGTGTACTGTTAGAAAATCTTATAATGAATCAAATTTGAATAAACATTTATTGTGGTATGGATGAAAAACTAAGCACTCATTTTGAAAAGTGACTCTTGTATTATCGAAAATCATACCAATGCATTTAATATCTAAAAAAAACAACGTGGATAAGACTCATCAAACTTCGTCTCGGAAAACATCCATTCCCGTTCACGTAAAATCCAACTCATCCCTGTTAACAAGATTTTCCTCTAATTTATTATTTTTTCCTATCTCCTGGAGTACTTTAGCATTGATGTTATGCATGGAGACTAAATATTTTTTTAGTTAATGCAAAAGCAATGCAATGATTGCTTTGGGGGGTGGTGGGGGGGGAATCACGAAAAAGGATTTCGCTTGGTCCCAGAGCTAGTAATATAAAAAACAAATAACCAGGAGATTTAGTCCATGAAAATGAGGCCCAAAGAGAACTGAACGATGCAGTGCCACAATAAAAAGCTCAGCCAAATCTTCTCTGATCATATTCATATTAAAATCTATTATAACTATATAGAGAAAATGCGATACAACACATTATGCTATTGTATCCTGCAAAAGATAGCAAGAGAATAAATATAATCATAATACACATCTTTTTTGAATATTTTTGCATATACAATGAGACAGCCATGTGCTTATGATAGATCAATTAGAATTAACTTAGAATTTAGAATAAATTACAATTAATACAAGAAAGCTTTTTCAATGGATATTGTAAATAAGTCTTCAGAACATGTGTGTGTGCGCGTGTGTGTGTGTGTGTGTGTGTGTGTGTGTGTGTGTGTGTGTGTGTGTGTGTGTGTGTGTGTGTGTGTGTGTGTGTGTGTGTGTGTGTGTGTGTGTGTGTGTGTGTGTGTGTGTGTGTGCGTGCGTGTGTGTGTGTGTGTGTGTGTTTGAAGAGCATGTAAACATTTCTCAGAGGGCACAGGGAATCTCATTGTCTTGCAGGTTTTCTAGTTGGAGTTCAGTTCCATCCATCTGAGACTTTATTTAGTTCTGTTGTCCTGTCTAGGTTCTCTCTGAACTGAAATCAGTCTGCTGGCCTCCCTGGGGATGACAGTAATGTCACATACCAGTTTGGCTCTCATATTTCACAAACAGGCCTCTACCTATTAAGAATGTCTACTTACCATGGAAAAGGTGTGTCCTTCACATCTGCAACCTTCTCATATTTTCTGCATAGACATATATGATTGTTCACAAACACACACATACGCCTGTGAGGAATACCACAAAAGCAAATACCAAACAGAGTGCACATGTGCAAAGCTCACAAATGATAGATCTAGCTTCACTTAACTATTATAGTTTATAACTAGCCTTTTTTTTTCCCTGTGATTTGAGATCAAATGCGTATTGGACAACTATAAGAGAACTGCATTATTCTTGA